TTGTAAGATAAGAAATTATAAGATAAGCCTCAGATTCTGAGGGTTAATCTTAGGGTCAAAGCTACATGGAGTGGACACTTATACATAGATCAACCAGACAAACGAAATGGCCTTCAGATTGTGAATGAAGAGCAAAGAATCTGTTGTGTTTATTTGTTGCTATTATCAATTTCTTCCATAGTCACAGAGGCTAGCCCTGCTTTTTTAATTAATAGTAAACATTTTGGCAGGCCGAGTGGGCGAACAATATGGGGCTTGTGCAGGGTCTATTAAAGCAATTATCTGCTAGGCCAGTGCGGCGATTGCAGTCCCTTTTTATCCCTGCGCTTCATTCACTGTAATCTTTCGTTATGGTCAGAATAGCAGTAAAGCTAGGCGAACGGTGATGATGAGAGGACATTGGGACGGTGGTCTAAAAAAATCCAAACTAATTATATTGAATTACAAATGAACTGAGGGAGTTCAGGCTGCTCCTAAAGCTTGTTATCAGCGTCCAAGAGGCTTGCAAATAGCTTTTTTCCCAGCCATAGTCTGTCCTATAATAGTCCAATTAGATAAGACAGACAGCTTAGTGAATGCACTGTCTTGGTGGAAAGGTTGTTGGGTGCACTAAGCCAGATTTTTGCTCTCCGACAAGTCGAGTCAAGAGAATGCCTGAGTTTTGGGCTCGAGGAATCATTATAAAGAGTTTCGTTCCCACAAGACAGGTTCCACTTCACTGCTCCTTTATCTATTTAGCTCCTGACTCAGTGTTTTAGAGCACATACTCATTTCAAAGCTTTTGCAGACGTTCACTCTGGACATAATGAATGTTATGACACTGCTGGCTGTTGAACTGTGCACCACATTTAAAGAGCGCTCGCATGCATGTGTATGAATGATAAATATTGTCTTTGTTCTTTTGTGCGATAGAACTGATGGCCACTGTTTTGGAGACTCGAACAGAAAGGAAGTCGGCAGCTCTGAATTGGCAGTTCCTTCCATTTTCCCCCGCTCGCTTTGTTTTCTCCTTCACTGTACAAATCCGAAATCTCTGAATCAGCCGATCCAAAAATGAAGATCTTTGTAGTTGGGGAAAGAATGGGACGTCTGCCTCCTTCGTTTGCAGTCTGCTCCTGCGACTATGGGAAGGAAGGGGCCCACAAAGCCTGTAGGAGGGGTTGTTATGGTTGAGATGTGCGCTTTTTGCCCCGGAGCAGTCCAACGTTTGGGCTTGTAGCAGCGCTCCAAACAGTGGCATCACCGAAGCGGCCAGCTGAGAAAATACCCAGGGGAAAACTCGCAGGAAGAGAAGTCTCTCGACGTTAAACTGTTTTGCTTATTTTCAATAATTCCTCTTGCAATGTTTTCCTTTTCAGCCCATGTTTAGATCCAGGATAAATAAGAATTAGGCAGAGGCTTGTTCTCACTGGTCCAAGTTTGGACCTTCTCCCAAAGCAAAGCCTGGGCTCAGAGAGAAAGAGAGAGGGAGAGGGAGAGAGAGAGAGAGAGAGAGAGAGAGAGAGAGAGAGAAGCACAGGAAGACAGAGAAAAAGAGAGAGACAGGCAGGAAGAGACAGAAAGAGAGCAAGAGAGACAAAAAGGGACAGAAAGAGATTGACAGAGACAGAAAGAGAGTAAGATAGATAGAGATAGAGAAAAAGAATGGCAGAGACAGAAAGAGAGAGAGAGAGACAAAGAGGCTGACAGAAAGAAAAGAGAGAGAGATAGACAGACAGAGAGTGGGAAATAGACAGGCAGACAGAAACAAAGAAAAACGAACAGACAGTTGGAGAAAGAAAGAGAGACAAACAGAGAGAGAGAGTTTTTCATAGTTCTGGTATAACCAGAACTGGACAAACATGTCAGGCCTTGCAGCTGAGACAAAATCAGGTAGTATGATGTAGGAACAATAGGCTGTATTAGCATTTCCATTTCTCCAATATCATCAGATTTCATATTAAGAAATATCAGACAATTGTGAACCTACTGGTCATTCTAACATTTTGGCAGCCAGCCTTAGTGTAAATGCCTCAGATTGGCCGTTTGATGTGTCATTTCGTGTCATTTGACACAACATCTCTGCCGCAGTACCTGTGTAAACAAACGGAAGCTGCTGGAGGTGGCCTCCATCTCCATCTGTGTGTGTGTGTGTGTGTGAGCACGTGTGTGTAGAAGAGACGGGGGGGAAGTGCGTCACGCTTCAAACAAAAAGCGAATTGGGACAATAACAATAAGGGAGTGAGGTGGTTTGGCTAGGCCAAAGTCCAGCAGACATCACAGTTATTGGTGACCTTACAGACAACACAAGAAAGAGCATGTTTGCAGTGCACATTCATACAAGGTTAGCTGGGGACAGAGACGCACTGACCTTTCGTATAGACAGGCAATCGTCACCATGTTTATAATAACTTTGTCCAAACCGCTATTTCTCATGCTCATATTTTCCACACAGTCACCTAATCGGTGTGGTCAGAGTCGGTTGAGGCTGCTGGACAGTGTGTGGAACAGCAGGCTGCTCGTGACATGGCTGGAGAAAATGAAGAGGGACATGGAGGAGTTTACCTGTGGAATGTTCCTTTAATTAACGTGTCTGAATTGGCTTCAGTCCTAAGAATCTCCAGAGCGCTCTGCAGCATCAGCCATCACTGGGGAATGTTAAATAAGATGACCAGGGCCCTCTCATCTCTGAGATTCCTGCTAGGGGATGGGGCTCCTTCACCGGAGAGTGCAGGAAAGCAGGCTGTCCAATGAATTCAATCAGTTTGAACAGATTTTAGATTCTGAATGCAGTGATTTAAATATTTAAATGTGATTTTTTTTGCCTTGGCCAAAAATCAAATGGACATCATTTACATCAAATCTAGCAGGTCAGCCAAGACATGTTTGGTGTTAAGGAATTAGTATCCATGGATGCATGAACAGATAGATAGATAGATAGATAGATAGATAGATAGATAGATAGATAGAAGACTTTCATTGATAGCAAATAACACTGGCCTGTTACGTTAGCTTTGACAGACAAACTCCAAAATATTTGATGTTATTTAATGTCATTAAATAATTGAAAATTAAAAGTTGTAGAGTAACGACGTGCAAAAAATACTACATATCAAATAATATTATTTATTTTGCTCCTCTGTGAATTCAGGGACACCTAAATAAACTTCCTGTGTTTTTGTCCATGTGTGCTTTGGCTTATGTTTCTGTTGAAAGTAGTCTTGTTTGGCTTTGGAAAAACTGGAGTTTAGACTACTCTGAACCCAGCAGTGACACTGATATGTTGAACAATTTCAACAACGTTGCAGTGCAAGACCAGCACACACCATACCACTAACATGTCAGTGTTCCTCCTGTGCTGAGAGTGGTTCACCATCCAAATAATACATGCTCACTCATCGCTAAAACCGTAGTGAAGCCTGAATTTTTTCTGCACTTTTGCTCAGTTATTTTAATAGGTAACAATATGTTGTCACACAGTAGGCCAGTTTGTGATTACCTAAGAACTCAAAATGATTTGAAACAAGTGTTTGATGATTTAGTTTGGTTTAGTTCGATGGCCTGCAGTTTGCGCAGTGCTAGTAAGTAGCTATAAGCTTCCATTACATGTTAGTTACATTAGCCTTGTAGCTTCAGTGCAAAACTAGAGAAGCAAACTTCGGACATCAAACATGTTTTGGCCGATCAACTACATTTAGGATAAGGGAAAATTGTGTATATTTATGTTTACATTTTGTGCTAAACTGTCCCTTTAACCTCCTGAAAGGTCCAACTCATCCAGTTTAACCAGCTATCTAATTATCAAGCCCATGATGCTGTGCAGTGTTGAGTCAAGGCTTATTGACGTACTGTGTATGTTAGAAACATGGATGAAAGGCATGTTGGCTCAATCCAGTGGCAATTCACAGTGGAATATTGGCTGCAATTAGAAGTCAGCAGGATCTTCCAGTCCATTTACAGTGCCAGCCGCACACATCCTGTCATTTTTCTTGTACATCAAAGACTTTTTTGTTTTCAAGAGTTATGGTGATGAACATATTCAGGTAGTAACAGAAAACAAACACTGGAGAAAAGAAACCTTTACACACAATGTATTGGCAGAGGTGGATGAAATAGCCATACTCCATACGCAAGTACAAGTACTGTTAGTTAATAATGAGTCAAGTAAAAATAAATTAAACATATTAAACAACATAGAAGCTCCAAAGTAGCAGCTACAAAGTAGTAGCTACAGCTACTTAACTATTCAATTTTTTAGACAGTGTAAAAGTTGCAAAAGATTGCGCACCCCCAGACAAATTATATGTTTGTTGATTACTCGTTTTCTTTCGCAGGAGAAGAAAAAAACCTACTTTACTTTATATGGAAGTGGAGTGGAAATGGAGTCATCATGCCAATCATCATGAAATTTACACACAATGTAAAGGACAACAGGCAACTTCAAATTATGTCCAATATGAGTTTTCTCCCGACAACAGCGATACATATATATATATATATATATATATATATATATATATATATATATATATATATAGTCACTGTAGAGGATGTGTTTCCACTTAGAAAATCAACTAAAATGTAACATAATTTGACCAGGGCACCCATACTTTTACACACAACCGTATCAGCAGAGGAACTAAAGTTTACTTGGCTCTTTTTTTTTTTTTATGTGCTAAGTTTAAAATAAGATGATAAACCTCAATAGTCAGAGGACTGTAACCAATCACAAAGCAGTACAGATGCTGTCAATAGTGTTAATGAATAGTTATATTAGTTATAGTCATTTATAGTTAATGAAATTAAACACAAAAATTTGTAACTAAATGTTAATGATGAAAACATTAAAAGGGCATTACTTTCTCCAGAAATACACTGGAGAACTACTTTATTATCTGAACTATTACTAATCCTTTTATCTGAGTATCTCATGTAACTGATTAAACGTAACCGGTTACCACCCATCTCTGTATATCAGCCAGTGATAAACACAGAATAAAAGAATAAAGGCAGACAGCGAGTGAAGATCAATATGCTTTAATAAGATATCAGTGCAGAGATACAACTTCTTATTGGGTAAAATTTCCCATACAGTAATGTCAACAATAATAATATATCATAATAATGTCAATATTAATTTAGCATATGAAAATACAGGATTGACTAACCGATCCAAAACTTTAATTGGATAAAGGCAGACTGTCCAAGGAAATGACATATTCAAAGGTTTGCTGATATTGTCTTTAAAGTTGAAACAGGTCACACATGTTAATACAGATGACAAACGTTAAAATGTAATGTACAGGTTATTTTTGCCCTTCGTGCATCACTGTATCTAGAGTTACTGGTGAGTAGCCTCCATAGTTGAATGACTGGACTTACCGCTGCTCTCCTCACATGCGAATACACGACTCTCAAATAAACTTGGGGCTCAAGAGTATCGGACAGGTTTGTGTTACTGCTATACTTTGGCCACACTTGTGCATCTTTACAGATCACATAATGCTCTGTAGAATGAAGTGTTTTCTGATTCTGAATATTTCTTTCTGAATAGTTTTGTGTTACAACAGACACTACATGGGCAGGTGTGTAGCGACACCTTAAACTCTAGCGGTATCACTAATGTCTAATATCTGCTGAAACACTAATGCTGGTGTTTTTCAGCTATTCTGCTCTATTCACTCCTAATCCTGTTGGAGCACTTCATAAATAAATTTGTCATTTCACAGCACGGGGACAGAGATAGAGTGAGAAGTTTGAAGAGAAATCTGCTTCAGTGGGCAGGCTGAGCAGCTCCCTCTCTATCACTCACTGTAGGGAAATTACTTCTCTCTCCATCTATCTCCCATTGGCCTGATATTGTGTCTTTTCAGCAACTACACTGCATCAGATAAGAGGGGGGAATCTTTAAAGGGCCCATACAATGGAAAACCAAATTTTCCTTGCATTTTAAAATACATAAATGATGAAAACATCAAAACATATCACTCCCCAGTCCATACAGTCCATATATGAAAACTAAGCCAAAAAAACAGCTTGTTTTGAAATCATTGTTTTTGTAATGTGACAAAAACTGTGCATTTACATATATCCTCATATTCGGCCTACAACCCCGCCCTTTCACACTGAAGCTATAAAGAGTGTTTTAACCTGGAGCACTTTTTGAACAAGGCACAAGATTGGGCAGCCAATCAGAACAGGGGTGATTCACATATATCAGTTTTAATGGCGCTATTACAAAAACGGCTGATATTATAAAAACTGCTGAATTCTAATAAACAGAGGCTGGAAAATGATCACGTTAAACTGTTTTTGGTACATATTACACAAACATAAGGTCATAAGTTGACCTTAGCGAGAGAAATAAGAGAAATGGTAACACTTTATTTGTAGTAGTCCTTTGTAGACGATTAATAAACACTTAACAGAGTATCTGTAATACATCAACAACATATCAGTGAAGTAGCAGTAGCGCAGCATCTAAATACATGGAAGTAAATATCTTGTAGATGTTCTGTTGATACATTACTTACATTGAGTAGATGTATTGTTAATATGTTACTTCCATTAGTCTGTTGAGTATTAGTTTCATCTAAAAAGGACCACTCAAAATGAAATGTCACCAGAGAAATGTAGGATGCAGGCCCTTTAAAGGAACACTCCAGCATTTGTCAACCTAATCTCTATTGAACCATCGATCACTGCAGACAACACCTTCCCTTAACTTAGTAAATGAACAGAAAACCCATTAACTTGAAGCTCACTTCAGCACCTGCCCATTGGCTTCTAATATAAGTGGGTTTCACGTTAACAGATTTTCTGTTTTTTTACTAAATACAGGGAAATTTGTCTGTGGTAACTGACCATAAGCTACATATGCGGCGGATGAACAGTATATTTTAGAAAGATGTTAGGATTTGTAGCCTTCAGGTAAGAGGTCATCCACTGGCACTCAGCCAGTAACAATCTGCCAACCCTCCACTGGTAATCAGCACCTTAGCCGTAATTAAACACTACAGCCTCTAGCGCTGTAACAGTCAGACTGTGGTCAAGCGAGTCACTGTTTAGAGGGGAAATATCTCATGTCTTATCAAAATGATAAACAAATGTGTTGTACATCATTTTCACATAATAAAATATATTACATCAACACAATTAATGATACAAGTAAGTAAATTTAAAATATATTTATAATTTTAATGTTGGTGTTGATGTGATTTTTTTAGAAATAGAAATAATGTACACATTTGAATGCATCACTTCTTTCAGCGTGCAGTTGACTCACGTTATCAGCTGCAGCCTTCCGTAATGTTCTTTTTGAACAAATTACAATCCATAAATGGCAGATAATGGCAGAATTACCTGAGCAAAAAAGGGACCCACTTTCCATTAAGTTGGTCTTGCTCACTCTTGTGTGCCCACACTGTCTGACAAGCGCATTTCAGATACTTAAGCCATCACAAAGCAGCACATCTCCAGTTTAATGTCAGGCTGGGACTGGACTGTGCACAAAAGCCTAACTTCACCCTTTCAGACCCTGACTGGATCTCAGCCGTTTCATCTTCATGGGGTTAGCATCAGACAAGTAAAGGATTAGCAACAAGGATACATTTTCATGAGCGCGTGTGTGTGTGTGTGTGTGTGTGTGTGTGTGTGTGTGTGTGTGTGTGTGTGTGTGTGTGTGTGTGTGTGTGTAAAGAGCGGATTAGATAGCCAACATTTACATCTGTGCATATGAAGGGCATGGTTAAAACATCAGTGATGAACTGACCATTTAGACATTAAAGGGGAATTCGATTGATATTTAAAAAAATCTCTGTAATTCAAAGGTGTGAGGTAAACAAAGTTATACAGATTGATTTGTCTATAATGCAAAAATAGCCAATTTATTTACTAGTTTTCTATTTACTAGAGTTATTTTATGTAACGTTAATAATAAATACTTTTTGGTTTATTTAATGGAACAATATACATTAATCAGCATCACTATTTCATAATGTAAATGTGCCAGATTTAGCCAAATGTCAAATTTTTATCTGCCGCCCCAGGGCATGTTGATATTAATAATGGGGAAATAGTGCTAAATCTGAAAAAAAGAATTTTCTTTGCAGACTTTTTTGCCTTACAATGCCCTGCATATAGGCTACCTCTTAAACTCTTCGGATATCTGGTTCCTATAACCACCACTGTGAAAAATTCTAACTCTGTAAGTTTCTCTAGAATGGAGCATTAAACATCAAACCACAGTAAATGACTTTGTTCACATCTTAACCATTTAATTACACAGACATTTTAAAAAAATTGGTGGAATTCCCCTTTAAGTCATCATCAATGTACAGTGATTCAACTTTATAGACAATCTCAGCTGGTATACTAAGTATAGAAATACTGTTAAAACTGGATACACTGAAGGCAGTTTCTTTGAACGCAAACTGGTCGTGTACGTATCTTTTAATAAATGATAAAAGTGATTATTTCGATTATAATATGTTACTCTCAAAAATAACTAATTTGCTACATCTCAATAGCAGAACCATTTTTATTCTACATATCTCTTCACTAGGATGTTTTTTTTCTGTTTCTCTTATTAGAGCAAGAATAAAACTGCACTGGCCTGCCAACAAAATATAATATGCTTTTGCATATTACAGGGGAAAAAAAATGCCACTAGAAGGGAACGAACAGATACCAGCACTACAGACCGCTTAAAATCAGCACTCCGATCCACATCTACTGAGTAGATAAGACAAAGTACCCAGGTATTTGAGCGCTACAACTCTAACTTTATAGAGAAATTTATAGTAGAAACTTTAGAGCCTCTTCCTTTAAATATCGTGTTTACAGCTAAAATGACAAAAAAATATATATATAGAGTGGTCACCACACAAAAGGCAATGGCTAGAGAGAGAGAGAAAGAGAGTGAGAGAGAGAAAGAGAGAGAAACTGATGAAAAGAGGAGACAGGTGCAACACTGGTGCAAACAGAAAAGAGAAGGCACTAAAACATGCATAAATATGACAGGTAAAAGGCTTAAGGTGTCAGAGGTAGGAAAGTTAGAGGGGAACAAAAAACAAAAGTCAGAGAACAAATAACATTCTTACAGTAGATCATCTTTCTTCAAGACAGTAGGCTGCTGCTTTTAATGCCTGACAGGCAGACAAGAGAGAAACGCGCTGAAAACGAGCTTACAAGTGAAGAAGAAACAGATATGCCAATGACAATACAGCTCTGCAACAGAACATAAACTAATACAAAAAAATTCAACTCATTAAGAAAGAGCTTTTTGTAACTAAAAATAATATATTATACTGTATATATAGCACTGTGTATAATTTATAAAGATGAAGACAATACAAATAGAATCAAAGCTACGTTCTTGTTGTATACGGTGGGGTATAGCGTATGCATTAGCCAGTGGGTATGATGATCAGGCCTGTGGTAGATGACGCTGTAGAGTGACTGATATAGCTGGGTTAATGGCACTGGGAGGGGTGAAGGCTAGTCTAGGTGGCCTGATCCAAAGCCCGCAGTAGGTCACTACCCTGCAGCAGGTGCAGGTTGCCTTGCAGAGGGACGTTGACCTCACAGTCGTAACGCGTCAGCTCGGGCAGACAGTACGTCTCAAAGGAGGGCCCGAGGAGACGGCTCGCTACACCTGCCAACGCAAGCACAAACCAAATCATTATTTACTGTACACGCATATGAGCCCTTCACTTATCTATAATTGATGTGATCCTGCATAAAAATAGTAATTATACATAGTCGGGTCCACAGACGCAGTCCAATTCATACTTCTTCTGACTGATTATTCCTAAAACAGCAGATACTCTACGCTACTAAATCAGAAACACACAGTGTGAGCTCACCTTCCATTTTTGTGCTGGGTAGCATGTTGTATTCTCTGTAGTTGCAGTATTGTTCTGGGTAGAGCTTTTCTGCCAGTCCTATTTGATTACGTGGATACAGGGTTTTCCTGTGCTGGTGGTCCATGCCACCCGGTGGGACCATGCCTTTATCTGCATAGAAAAGACATAATGCATTTCAATATTCATTTAGTAACAAAATTAAAGCAGAAATGTAGAAATTTTCCACTGTACAAAAAAATATGACATAGGCCCCAAACTCTATTATGGACTACCACATTGTGATACCAAAGTGGTCAAAGTTTAGTAGTCAAGTTGACAAATTCTTTCAAGCCTTTCAAGCCTTAATCCCTTAAAAGCTTATTATTAAATGATTAAACTCATGGCTTATTCAGTAACTACTAGGAATTACTTAATAGCTTATCTGACATACTCAATAACTACTATTCTGTAGATCATCAACGTTCTAACAAAATGTAAGTTAATGTAACGAGATGTTATTCCAAGTGATTTTGGACCATTTCTATTGGCTCAATCATCATGAAATGTTCACAAAAAGAACAAGTGTTGTGCTTAAATGATGTAAAAATAAAAATCAATTGAAAATGGACATACATGGTTATCAAATGACTGTGGTGGAATTACACAGATATGGGAGATCTGAACCCCCTGATGGGTTTCAGCATCTTGCTTGTCTATTTCAGACTGCATATCGTTGTTGTCGGAACAAAAGCTTGTATCTCCAAAATGAGAACTTTACAGGAGAAGGAAAAACATACTCTACTTTTAATGTATGTCAATCGAACCAGATGCTTTTCCAAGCAATTTTGAGTCAGTCCTGTAAAGAACACAATGTAAAGGACAACAGGTCCTTTCAAACTATGTCAAAAACTGAAAAACGACAAAAATGGAGATACAAGGTTTTGTTCCGACAGCAGCGATATGCTGCTTCAGCATTATTCATTGCTGTGCTGTAGGGTTGGTGTCTTTGTAAGTATTTCTCATAGTCACATGAAGGTCTCTTTACCTGATAAGGCACTGGTGCTGTGAGACTTCCTGTCCAAGATGGCACAGCTTTCATTCCTCATCCTCTTCCATATCATCTCTGGTGGCTTAGTAGCAGACGCTTCGCCCTGCAGAATACGCAAATAATCCACATTGACTTAAACAGGCCACTAGAACAGTATTTTCCAAAACTATTGCAGGGACCCCCAGGTCCATATTCTTGCTATATACAAGATATACGTGCAGCATTGCAGAGCTGTATACCTAAGTATATATTGAGATATTTTTCTAAAGTCACTTATAGGTTCTTGTCAATTTTGGGGGCGTATTTTGCTAAACTCTGTGTTAGAATACCATCCAAAATAAAACCACACAACTGTGTGAGGTCTATGATAGTTAGAAAATGGCACAAAGTAGGTTTAAAGGGTCAAGGCACCTAAAAGCACTCACCATGGTCATCTGTGAGAATGAGCGCTTCATGCTGTTTGCTATTGCGAGCCGAGCTGGGCTCATGTCTCTGTAGGCCTCGCTAGGCCCAAATTTCTCCACAGACCTGCCAAACAACACAGTCATTACTTTCACTGACTGCAAAGATAGCATCACTGCAAACACAGTTCCGACACACGGCCAAGAGAAATATGTTCAGAATCAGTCCAAAGAGCTCTGCTTCACCTTTGCTTGTGGAGGGGCATCCGACTCACTGGCACAGCTTGGCAGGACCGGTTTGTAGCCAAAGAGTCTATCAAGCTAGCTTTGGCGTTCGCATAATTTAACGGAGGGTCAGGCGGCCATTGCAGATTCTGACGCCCACCCATAGAAGAAAGAGGTGTACTCGCTGGGTCATGGTAGGGGGGGAGTTGTATGGGGCCGCCGTACGCTATGGCAGGCCAGGGGTCCACAGAGCCACCACTGGGCCTTTGTTTCTCCTCTGCAGAGCACAGGCTAGGCTGAAAGTGGCCGGGTGTAGGAGAGTTTAGGGGCTGGAAGAGGCTGGCAATGTTGCTGAAACTCTGCTGAAAGGCCCCCAGAGCAGCAGCCTCTGATGGAGTGTCCTCCGGGCAGATGGGATTCAGCTGGAAGTCTTCGCCATCCATCGGGATGTAAGGAGCCAGCGTTTCCAGATCCAGATCACTTAGGTCAGTCTGAAAGGCAGAAGAGAGGTCAGAGTTGAGCTAGGAATATACAAACAGATGAGACAACATTTAGAATTTGTAGTTATCACCATTCTTCTTCATTATTCACCATTATTTAGAAAAACAAATCGAGAAATTCTGTAGAAGGTGAGAATTCTAAACTTTTAATCAATCCACATTTGCATATGTAAGTACCATGCAAATACTAAGTTGCTGACAGAAGGAAAAATGTTCCCTTTTATTTTTGCCATGCTATTTTTCATCGTTTCACACCAAAAAAAGAAGTGCAGAAGTGCAGACTCAAATCTGCCAGTGCGGAATGTAAATTGAATGCATATAATTCACTGTGTAATTAACTATGAAAATAATTATGTTACATTTAAACAGTATGGCTAAATAACAATAACAACATTATAGACTTCTAAGGGTGTTTTTTGTGTGTCTTTTAATACCAGCCAAAAATATATTACTTGACGCTTAAATGCAGGTGTGATTCTCCAGTCTTTCTTACATACAGAGGGGTCCAACAGTATGAAACCACTTGTGAAAATGCTTCTATTTTGCATTCTTTTTTCTAATTCAATACAAAGTTTTTCTTACAAATTATAAATTATCAACATGACAATTTGAGTAAAAAGTAGAATCATTAAAATTCATACATGAATTTCAGAGTTTTTTACAATTCTAAAACTTTCTGTTGTTTATTTCCAGGTTTGAATAAAAAAACACATCTCAGGTTTTCAATGTGATCTCAGACTTTTGGACCACATTGCACTTCAGGTCATTAGTGATATTATATTTAACCTAAATTCATCTACAAACTGCTATTATTGTGCAAAACTGTCCAGGAAAAATGAAAAAGGAAATGAGGTCACAGGTTGTTAGTGCCCAACATATTCCCATAAGTGCAAGGTTATAAAGGGTGTGAAAAAATCTAATGATCAAGTCAGAATGTTACAACTTTTTTAACTCCAATTACTTTGAAGTCTAACAGACACTTTGTGGCTTATATGTTCCTACCTCTTGGCTGCAGGAGGTCTTTGTCTCCTGTGTGTCCAGAGCAAACAGTTTCTCAGTGAGCTCCACCTTCAGGTCATTGTCCACTGAGCTGTAGTAATCTCCTGGGCTGCTTGGCTGTGGAACATGATAAAACCACTAAGAATCAGAATGAAAAGTGTTTAAATCAAACTTAATACTCTAATAATCTGGATAATTGAAGAGCCCATTTAAAGGCTTGTGGAAGGCTTACTGTGGAGCAGCTGCTCAGGCTGGGAGTGGCACTGCTGGGAGGTGGAGCCTGAGGTACGGAGAAGGTGGCGGCCATGTTGGGTCTGTCTCTGGCAAAGCTTGGTTTGTGGCCCTCATCAACTGAGTGAGCGGCAGTCACTTTTTTGCATACTGGGTAATCTTCATATGGAGGACGACCTGCAATGTAAAAGACATTGATAGTACTGTAGTGTGGACAATGCCCACACTATGATCCTCCACCTAAATAATACTTGCATTGTGGTGGTCCTGTGGGGATTGTGACCACTGAAGAACAGGGTAAAATTGGGACTAGGCAGAGAAACAGACTGACTACAGTCTGTAATTGTAGAACTACAAAGTGTACCAACATGGTAAGTGGAGCTGTTAAAATGGACAAAGAGTGTGGACACAAGGTGTACTTAATGAAGTGGCTGGTCAGTATGTGTGTGTGTGTGTGTGTGTGTTTGCTTTCTCTTGTAAAGTATAAATATTTTGGAGATATTTGTTTTTCTTTGGACAGATATTGTTTTATATGTATATATATGTACATCGTTAGAAATTAGAAAGAAAGTTGATTCATTCATCATGAAATTTTCACACAACATAAAGGGCAGTTGCTGAGTTCAAAAGTGTAGAAAACTGAAAATCAAAAACATGGAGATTGACTTGTCCTTTTTTTGGACAACAACAATATATATATATATATATATATATATATATATATATATATATATATATATATATATATATATATATATATATATATACACTAGAAATCCATCATTACAATAATTATGGTATGTAATTCATCATTTAAAAACATTTCAAAAGGCTTAAAATATGAATAAAACATCTAAAAATATATTTCAGAGTTTATATTAAATTGCAGTGGTTCCAAACTTTTGAACAGTAGCGTATTGCAGGATGTCCTGCATGGACAAGCTTATCTAGGCCTTACCAAAGTCAAGAGCAATAATGGTATCTCCGGGTGTGGGTGCCAGGTGGGTTAGATCCTCAGGCTCCTCTTTGAGTTTGGTGAAGAGAGCTCCGCCGGTGTCGTTGGCCCTGGCAGATCCGGCCTGGCTGAAGAAACTGCTCATATGGTGAGTCTTGAAACAAGACTCGTTCTGGTCTATGGAGAAGACCGTGGACTTCTCCTCAATGTCACTGTGAAATGAGAAAGGGAGGCAAGAAGAATGAAAACATCCTCTGTGATAGTTTTTCACAGCCTCTTAAACTGGACCTGTATGTGGTCCACACTTTCATTCTTCACCCTCATAACTACTGAATATAACTTTGTATATATTACTTTCATAGTACTTACTGGATGATAAGACACATAAGTGAGCATTATGCTTGCTGAACAGGCCCATATCCTAAGTCACTCTTGCAGTTTGTTTTATTTGCTGAGGTCCGTTTATGAGGTTTATGTTTTACATACCAAAAAGTCATAATTCACTTTTACACAATCATTTACCAACCTCTCTTAATCCCTCAGAATTAAACTAAATTAGACTGTTTTTGTTATTGTGCCCTTATATATGTGACTTATATATGTAAATGAGCTTTGTTCTGATTGGCCATCCTGTATTGAGCCTCACTAAAAAAAGTCCAGGCTGAAACACTCCATATAACTTCAGTACGAATGGGCGGGCTTAACTGATGTTGGCTGAATAGATGGACATAGGTAAGTGTGCTTATTTTTGTGACATCACAAAAACACTGTTTTTAAGACAAGCTTTTGCAGCTTAGTACCCAGATATGGTCAGTACGAACTGGGGAGTGAACAGTTCATTTCGAAAGAATATTTATATACTACAACAAACTTTTATTGGAAAAAAAATAGTTGTTTCATGATATGAGCCCTTTAAGGGATTGAAATTCTACCCACCTCAGCACATAATTGACGCACACAATGCACTGTGGCTGCGAGTTGCGGCTGTTGTAGATGACCGTGCCCTGCGTCTCCATCCAAACGTAGCCCCCATGCTTGGCCAACATCCGGTACTGACCACTCACTGCCTGCCCTTTTGTGCATACTGCAGAGAGGGAGAGACAAAGAGAGAGAGGGAGAGTGGAGAAAAAAGAAGAGTTCTCTCATAACTCTAATAACTTACACATCAGTTTTATAGCAGTTTCAAAGAACCCATATTCTGCGTTTTGTGTGGTTTTTTTTTGCCCTAACACCGACTTACGACATTCATGGGGTTTTATGGACCCAAAACTGTCAGGATTCATTTTACATGACCTCTTTATCCCTTAGCCTCTTAACAAACCAGGCTTATTACATACAAAGGCTTATTATTCAGCTGCTACAAGGACTTCAACACAAACTAATGGTTATAGAAGTGTGTAATATAGCTTGTTAAGGGGTTCAAATTAAACAGTTTTTTTATTTATTTTCAAATTAAACAGGTGTTTTTGAGACTTTTGAGACCCTTAAGACTTTTGTTCATAAACAAGCCCTGTTCTGATTGAGCCTCATTCAAAAGGCAGTCCAAGCTGAACCGCTCCTTTTAACTTCAGCATGAACAGGCAGAGCTAAACTGCTGTAGGCTTAATAGGCAGATATATGTCAATAAGTTGTTGCGACAGCACAAAAATAACAAATTCAAAACAGGCTGGTTTTGCAGCTTAGTTTCCACAAATGGTCTGCGGAGTGAGTGAGATACAATATGTTTTTCAATATGTTTATGACCCCTTTAATAAGTGAAGAATAAGTTTAATGGCCTAAATATTAGAAAGGCTAGTTGCATGTACACACACTGCAGTCTAAAACAAGTCACCCCCTCTGGTGAGGCAGAAGCAGAGCTGACTCACACACAGGCAGACATACAGACAGACAGACAGACTGACAGGAAAGTGGGGCTGAGAGCGAGACAGCCGCAGAGCCACAGATCAGTACGAAGCGGCTGATAGAAGTTTTGACAGGCTGTCTCTGTGGCTCTTCTGGCCTGAACTTGGTCCAAGTCTGGCGTGGGAAAGCAGTGGGCCTGGGGTCGCAGGGTTCACTCCGGGCAGGATTAACCCAGACCAGCGCATGTGCTTCTCTGCAGCCCAGTCACGTTGGCCCAGCCACTCAGCCGTCTGTGTCCACACAGCCGGAAAGCTAGCCGCACAGAGGGCCCTTTCTCTGAGGAGCCCGCGGCCTTGGTGCTGCCGCCGCGACGCGATGTACGACATGCTACCGAGCGTGTGTGTTTGTCTGTGTGTTCTCCGATAAGCGTGATAAGCTTAGTACTAGCGGCATTGATGCATGGGCACAGTTCATGGTCCAATGCCGAAGGGGCGACTAAACGAGTTGTTTATTCATAAGGTTTCATCCAGTGGTCAAGACACATACGCGTGCACAAAAGGCGAGCCTTTCTCTCCTTCCCTTTCAACAAATCCAATCCAGATCAACACTTGCTTTGCTGGTCTCTCTTCCTCTCCTCAACACACAATGAAAGGGCCCTAATTGCACGTTAACGTCACCGCGGATAGAAGCCACTCCACCTCCAGCATCTGATTAGGGGGCAATCTGGGACACCTGGCCGAAGCGAGGGAGCGCCAGCCATGGTCAACTCGATGCTCTTATCTCTCCTGTCACAAGTCACCCATAATGGGATTCAAGACATCCTAATGCCCGCTGCAGTCGCCCCTAATAGAGCCAATCCAATAAGGCTCTTTTGAATCACGCTCATAACTCATACGCGCATGCGAAATGCAATTTGTCTGCCCCCGGGGCCTGCTGGCCTCAGTGCCCGTCCCCGCCCGCACTGTGCGGACAAGTCAGGGTCTGTAAACCTCACCAGATATTGAGTTTCACCTCCACATGTTTGGATAAAGTGAGATAAACAAATTAAAGTGAGAGGGTGTTGATGGGAAGACACCGAGGAGCTGTAATGCCCAAATGTGCCTTTTTTCAGATAGGACGACCTAGTTGAAGACTGTAGAAGAACACAAACACAGATTTAAAGCATGTAGCATACAAAATGGCACAGGAAAATAAACATTGTATTCTCTGAATGTACATAAATGCACTGGGCTACTGAGTGGCCAGCCCTCTAAGCCTTGGGATCGCGAGTTCGATCCCTGGTGATGCTACAGCCATCCAAGAGCGCACAACTGGCCTCGCTCTCTCCAGGTAGGTAGGATGGCCCTCCTTCTCCCCACAACACCCAGCGTGATTCTAACCAGTGCAGTTATCTGTTAGCTGGTGGTTAGCGATCTCCTCAAAGCATGTTTAGCTGTCCAAAGATGCTGCGTCAGCGGCAGTTCGAAAAAAATGTGGTGGCTTCACATGACTCGGAGAAAGCTTGTGTTTGCCTTTGCCCTCCAAGTGCTGGTGGTACTGTGTGACTGAGGGGAGTCCTAACTAATGGGTAGAACTGGAAAATTGGACACCCCCCCCCAAAAAAAAAACAAAAAAAAACAAAAGTACTAGTAAAACATTTTCACATGCAAAAATAATCAATAAAAGCAATAAAAGTAAGCAATTATAAGCAATAAAAGTAAGACACCTGAATAAGCATTTCTAATGGCCTTTTTTGAAATGGGTTATTTTCCAGTTAAAATGAATCTTATCAAAACATAATCCCAGAGAGAGAGAGAGAGAATGGGGAATAGTGGAGGAATAGCTTGTGACACTATTGCTCATTCTGTAACACTGGCTTACTATTGGTTAAATTATCATCCATATTGCTGTATTTGTAGGCATGGTCACCATACAGAGAAGTTCTCTAATCACTCTCTACTATTACTCTGTACACAGAAGTTCCTAACCACATTTCTCTACTTTAGTCTGTACAGTGAATTTCACTACACTCCTCTACATCACTACACAGCTTTCCTTTTTCTTTCTTTTTGACATGCAACTCTTTGCTTGCACATAGGTATGCAATCAGCCAGCACCTGCTCATTTAATGTTTCTTCTGAAATAAAGGGTATTAATAAAGAGTTTGCCCCCCCACCCCTTGCTGCTATAACAGCTTCGACTCTTCTGTGAATGGCATTCAAACTCATCCCAAAGGTATTGGATGGAACTCCATCACTCCAGGGAATGCAGTTCCACTGCTCCACAGCCCGATGTTGCTGTGTTGCAAGCTGAGGCCTGGCATTGACTATCCCATTCTATCAGCAGTGCTTTTCTATGGAGATTATACCAGCTGCATGTGCACAGTTTAAGCTCTGTGTCAATAATGTGCGCACCTAAAGTAACCGAACTCACTAATCTCTGTTCTGATCTGTTAAGTTTAGATTTATTATGAAGTTGTCCCTTAATCAACTACTAGAACGTGTATGACATGAACATCACCTTATGATTTTGAAAAATGTGTAGATTGTAGAGTGAAAAAAAACTGTTTTCAAACATATTTATATATTTTCCTTTTGAAATACAGTAAGTAAAAGATAAAACTCAAGTACAGACACTTGGAAACTGTACAATAACTATGTTATTGGACTTTGTTACTTCCCATCTTAGGGCCTAGTGTGAATGCTTCCGCAACACTTTAGCATGACAAATAGGCAAACCGAGAGATCGGTGTCAAAGAGGACAAAGGGACAGTGAGGGAAAGAAGATTGAGAGTAGAAGGAGAGAGGTGTGGAAAAGAGAGGAGCTGAAAGAAAAAGAAGTCGCCGGGGTGTTTGTTTTAGGCAGACGGGTGTACAGTGCCGTCTGAAAGTCCGCCACATTGTGATGTGGGCTTAACGCAGCTTTGTGGTGAGGGTTAATTAAGCAAAGCACAATAGACGGGGATTCAGGGTCATTGTGAAAGCAAAAGAGAAAAGAGGTCAGTGGCTGCATGCGCTTGTGTGTTATGAGAGGGGCAGTGAAAGAATACGTGCAGCAGAACGGGTGTGTATGTATGTGTGAGTGTTTCAGTCTGCATTCGTGTCTACATCCGTGGCTGTCTGTCTGGGCATTTGTCTGTATGTCTGTGTGCTGGGATGGGTACGGAAAACTGGATGCATGGAAATCTAGGATTTTTATAGCTGATGCATTGGTTACTTTGAAACAAAACCTTTTATAATGCATAAGATGCAAGCGGCCATTCAGACAGACTGCAGTACACTAAAAGACAGCATTGTTATATGAGGAAGGCTGTGAGCAAATCATATAAGAGACACGCTTCAAAAGGAGCAGCACATTATGACGTTCCCAAGACTGTTTACTGTTAATGTTTAGCCGTTTCTGGAAAAACACTATCCACATGGTCATCTGGAGTCTGAATCGAATTGACGACACATTATAAACCCCATATCCCAGCTAGAATTTTTTTGCTCTAAATACGTTCTGAGAATATTACACACATGTTCTAGTAACATTTTCAGTGGAAAGTGTTCCCAGAATGGTCTTCTGGGAACGTTCCCTAAAAACATCATCACGTAACATAATCTGTGGCCCTGACAACATCCTTAAAACATCCTCCAAATGTTGCGTTAACACATTATGTCTTGGTTGACATGTAACCTTACAGGAACATCAAATGCTAAACACCCTTAAAACGTTCTTTGAACATTATACTGAAAGCTTTTCTTTAAACATTATTAGAACTTGTAGGTAACGTTAGCCAAAGTTATGGCAACGTTCCCTCCTAGCTGGCATGTCAAACGCAAGGCCAGCAAAATTATTGATTTTCTATTAAAATTATCCCTTTTCACAAGGTGCTGCACTACAACCCCCAGCATGCACTGCAACATAATGTGCTTCCCTTCGCCAACAACAGTCTATGGGACAACAGTTACACTACAATTCTACCCCATTCTACACAAATCTACACCAGTCAAATCACCAAACACAATAGCTGTGTTTCAGCTGCAGTTCAACCAATATAAACACTATACACACCGATCAGGCATAACATTATGACCACCTCCTTGTTTCTACGCTCATTGTCCATTTTATCAGCTCCACTTACTATATAGGTGCACTTTGTAGTTCTACAATTACAGACTGTAGTCCATCTGTTTCTCTGCATACTTTGTTAGCCCCCTTTTACCCTGTTCTTCAGTAGTCAGGACCCCCATGGACCCTCACAGAGCAGGTACTATTTGGGTGGTGGATCATTCTCAGCATGCACTAACACTGATGTGGTGGTGGTGTGTTAGTGTGTGTTGTGCTGATACGAGTGGATCAGACACAGCAGTGCTGTGTGACCTGTTCAAGGTTTACTACAAGTGCTGGTAATGTACTGTTTATGTTTTGGCATGGCCAGTTTGGGTTATAGCAAAATGTTGTTTGAGAAGGAAATAAAAACATAGGTGTTCTCTGGCCCACAGATTTGTTGACATTTTTTACCTGCCTCTAGATTACAGAGATGATCACGGCTCTACACAGAGCACACCTGAGCAGCAGTGCTGCTGTAAATGCGTGTTGGTCTGTGATGCTCCACCCAGAGATGAGTGTTCGGCCTTGTTCTTTTTGACGGGGCTGAAACCGTAAACCTTGGGAACACGGCCGGCAGCACCTGAGCTGACCTGTTCCGCAGCGCTTTCTCAGAAGCAGGCCGCCAAACTCTGTTTTCTAATCACATCACGCACTGTCTCACTTTACCCCCGACTCCTCCTCTCACACACACACAGCCTTTCAGCTCTGCTCACGTGGGTACAGTGTGTGTTTTGTAAAACTGTCATGTGATTCGCATGCTGGCGGAATTTTTGTTTTTTGCCCAGAAATTCTGCCCTGGGCCTGCGTGAGCGAGATAGACAGAGACAGAGAGTCAGAGAGAAAGAGAGAGCGAGACACAGAGACAGTGAGAGGCTCTCAGTCAGCATGATGCTTTTGTACCGGTCTGGGCAGCTAATGCACTGATGTGGAAAACAGAGGAGGAGCTTACAGTTCTGGTGGCTTTTGGTGACACTTTCCGAGTCGAGAGCGTGGTAGAACTCGTACACGGAGCGACCCAGGAGATCTTCAGGACTGTAGCCTATCAACTCAGTCACTCTGAAAGAGGAAACAAACACACACATGCACACTTGTTTAATACCTTGTCAGGATCAAGAATGAGCAGGATGTGAAAAATGATTTAATGTGAAAGGAGAATCACCTTCGGTTCCCTAAAGAACCATTTTGTGGACGGTTCTTTAAAGAATCATTTTTGTAAATGAGATTTGTGTGAAGATCCTTGGTAAAGTTTAAAGACCCTCCATGTAGGGTTAATATTAATTAAAGGTTCTTCTTAGAACCAAGTCAAAAACCTTTTAGGAAGCTTTTTAAGAGTATTTAGTACTGTGCAAAAGTCAAGGACCACCATGCATTTGTTATATTTCCAAACAAAGTGGCCATTGAGTAAAAGGTATTCATTTTTCAGAAGATTTTTCTGATGATATTAGATATAAGATAATCCACTCTTGTAAAGAAGAGGAAAGTCAAAGGAAAGTGATAGATAAAAATGGGAATTTCCAAACGTGTAGAGAATATGGAACTTCTAACAACCGTGCAAGACCTGGTAGACCACCAAAACTGTCCCCATAGATGAACAGTATTTTGCTGCTGTCGGAACAAAATCTCCAAAAAAGTAACTTTACAGGACAGGGAAAAATATTCTCAACTTTTGACAGAAGTAAATGGAGAAAGGACAACTGCCTTTTTTAAATTATGTCAAAAAATGAATAATGACAAAAATGGAGATACGAGGTTTTGTCCCAACAGCAGCGATTTAAAGCTTTTGTCTTTGTAAGATCTGAAAAAAAGTTATTTCTGTCTATCCTTCCACTGTGAGAAGACAACTCAACACTGTCTCAGAACAATTAACTGTCCACCTCAGAGTCCAGATCTCAATATCATTGAATGTGTTTGGATACTTGGATTATGAGAAACACAAAACGCAACCAACTTCTAAGACTGAACTTCGGAGGTTTTGGAAAATATCAACAAACCTCCTGAAAAGAATGGAAGCTGTTAGAGAGGTAAAGAGTTGACACATTAATTTCCTGACACTAAAAAACTTTATACTTAATGGCCTTTTTGCCTGCAAATTAAATAAATGGATGGTGGTCTTTACTTTTGCTCAATACTGTATATATGTCCCATATGTATTCTGTAAATGCCCCTATGTGTAATAAGACCTTTGTAAGCCTACGCCTAATCCTAACGTTGTAGGTAAGACCAGTCTCTCTGGTTTTCCTACAAAATTTTCCCCAAAAATGTATGAAAACACGCACAAACACATGCCTGTGATTTGAAAACGCAAGTTTTTTTTATTCGTTCTCTTTGAACTCGCTGAGCTCTGGATATTTCAAGTCAATTTAATCATGATCCATTTCATATGGTCTGGTCAGCAGAGGATAAGAACTTAATGACCTTGATTTTCGGAGGATTTTCGGCGGGTTTGTGTGGTTCTGAGAAAGATTAATGCCACTTTCCCGTCGCAAGGTCAGTGCACTAAGACAGATAACACTCTCCAGTCTTACCTCATCCTCTTCACTTCAGCTGAATCGCAGTAAATGAGAGGAGCCTTCGTTTAACTCTGAATGTGCTGGAATCAACTACTGATTGTGATTGGATGGCCACTGCTGGACTGGGTGAAGAATCATTAGCTGGACAGCACACCAGCAGTGAAAAGTGTTTACTAACTGATGATAATCCCCACATGAAATCAGTTGTATTGCTCTTTTCAGCATTCAGAATCTCTAGCTAAGCATGTTTACGAGCTTCTAAACCACAGCTTGTTTGTTCTCTTGCAACACAAGGTACTAAAGGTCGATAACGGAGTGAAAATGTGTGTATGTGTGTGTGTGTGTGTGTGTGTGTGTGTGTGTGTGTGTGTGTGTGTGTGTGTTTCATTAAAGTAGTATGTATAAGAGCTCCGGTCTGTGGCTCATGAGGTTTTTACAGAGGTTATATACAGTCATACAGCTGCAGACAAAGAGAAAGGGGCGAGAGACAGAGAGAAGGAAAAATAGAGAAACAAAGAAACAAAGACAGAAGGAGAGAGAGAGACAGAGAGAGAGAGAGAGAGAGAGAGAGAGAGAGAGAGAGAAATAGAGAGAGAGAGAAACAGAGAGAAAGTAACAGAGACAGAGAGAGGGAGAGAGAGAGAAACAGAGACAGAAAGAGAGAAACACAAAAAGAGAGGGAGAGGGAAACAGAGCCAGACAGAGAGACGGAGAGTGAGAGAGTGAGACAGAAAGAGAGAGACAGAAACATAGAGAGAGAGACAAAGACAGAAAGAGAAAAAACAGAAACAGAGACAGAGAGACAGACAGAAAGTCAGAGAGAGAAGGAGAGAGAGAGAGAGAGCACAGAAGGAGAGAAACAAGAAGCTACAAGATATATTCTGTTTACCTGCTTATAATCTATTAGTATTGTTATTATTATTATTACTATTATTATTGTTCTTCTGTTGGGGGAGAGAAGGAAATATAGAGACACAAGGAGAAAGAGAGAGAGGATTGGAGAGAGAAACAAAGAAAAAGAGAGAATGAGAGAGATGGAGAAGAAGAAAGAGAGAAACAACAGAGAGAGGAGAAAGAGACAGACAGAGAGACAGAAAGAGAGAAAAAAGAGTCTAAAACTCTCGCATAATAAAGAGCCCTATATTCTCCAGCTACGTGTCGAATCACTGATGATCAAGAACAGTGACTACCACCCACAGCATCATGGACACACACTGAGGGGGTCTGACTGAGTGGGATTTAAAGGCAATGACACCTGTGTTAAAGCAGATTTTAATACACAAAGAAAATAACTCCACCTGAGTGGACGGTAAGAGAAAATGACGAACACCTCGCAGGGCCACCTAGTCAAAAACACTGCAGCCTCCACCGATGTTGGGCTCTTAGACCAAAAGCCAATTTTCTGACCAATTTCCACAGAATTGCGGTGCAGTTCTGGCAACATAATAATAATAATAATATTAACTGTTGGATAGCGATGTGGAAAAGCGAACCAAGCACCTCTCGTACACAACCCAGATGCGGATCCCTGGAGGGAGCGTTGCGTGCTTCAAAGTCCTTAAACACCGTGGAACTTTTCAGAAAGTTAAAGCACAAATAAAACTCTCTAATTCTGTTTGCTTATTCCTGCGTCCTTTGTCCTCAGTCCTGCTCTCTAAAGCATTACCAAACCTCAGCCTTTCATCCTGCCAGTCAGGAGCACGACTGCCTTTCTGTATGATTCACCACACTGACAGACTGCATTAAGAACTACAAACTATTAAAGCTCCACTATTATTTGCTAATCTACTGATGACTGTAGAAGGTGTCAAAGTTTTGTTAATTATTTACTCACGTATTTCACGTTTAAAGAGGTTCTTAGGTTCACTTATAAAGAGATACATTTTTGATTTAAAATCAATTGATTCCTTAATCTCACCTTGCGTAACGTCTCGCCTGCTATATACGGAGAGATTTTGGCTTTGTCCCCTTTAACTCAGAAAAATTGACCCACAGTAAATAAATGAATGTATGTTCACATTGGGCTTTCTGTGTTTTCTGTTACTATATGAAACAAGCATGATGCTGCTTTTATTGTTGGATGCACTGTAATAGCTCCTAAGTGTAAATGGCTTATTACTGATTTATTTCATCAGAGCATTAATAAATGGAGGCTGAACTGCGAACTATATTCCTATTCAAGTGTTTGCTTGTTCAAAATGGTAGACTGTAACAAAAATAATAAAAATACAACAAAAAAAAACTAATAAAACAAATCTGCAGCCTTGTTGGACCCACATCATCATATCACCATACCATATATTTTTCTCACTTTCTTGAAATAAAAGAGTGAACACTGTTAAAATTTCAAAATGTACTGGTCACTCGCCAGTCCATACAGTCCACATACAGAAGCTGCAAGAAAAGGCTGTTTTGAATTCACTGTTTCTGTGATGTCACAAAAAATAACAAATTTAAATATATTTGCCTATTCAGGCCCGTCCATTCACACTGAAGTTTTAAGGATTTTTTCGGTCTGGGCTGCTTTTTGAAGGAGCCACAAAACCAGATGGCCAATCAGAACAAGTCTAATTTACATATATCAGCGTTAAAGGCACAGTAACAAAAACAGACTAATTGTAAGGGATAAAGAGAGGTTGCAAAATGGTCATGTTAAAAATAACTATAATTGTTTTTGGTACATAAACCCACATAAAAGTTCTTAATGGAATTCAGGGAAAAAATAAGATACAAGAAAAATGAAGAATATGGTCTTTAAAAGTAAATGAGAGCAGTGAGAAAGCAGGTTATTAAAGGATAAATGGGCGCTGAGCAAAATGCTCATATGTCACCTGAATAAAATCTTACACAGCACATGCTTTCTTTTATTTTACTTCTTTTAGCAAGAACTGTGTTGATGTACTGTGTTTATTCTTGACCAACCAATTGATGTTTTCAGCATACAGTGTAGAAACAGCTTCTTTATTTGGCTCCTGGTTTTGAGGAACAATTCTGCCGAATTTTTCAAATTTTCTGCCAAATTAAATTGTTAGAATATAAACAAAGTCATTCAGTGTGGGTTGATCTGAAATGCTCTGTTCTAGAGAACTTTATCAATTAACTTTATCGGTTAAACAAACGAATTGTTCACAGTGGTGGTGATAGGAACCAGACATATGAAGAGTCTAATACCTCTAAAAACTTCATTTCAAAAGATTATTACATGAAAAAATTAAAGTATGCTGCTTGATGCATTTTTTTAAAAATTCATTCATCACATATAAAAACTCAGGAGACACGTGAAGGTTCACGGGTGGTTTTGCATTATAAATAAAATGGCTATATTTGCACTGTAGATATTGTGACCCCTGGTTCCCATCACAACCACTATAAAGAAATCAGAGCTTGTACGTTTCTGTACAATGCACCATTTAAGTTAACCACTGAGTTCCCCTTTAACCTTCAGGCTTATAGTTGTTAATCTTAAAGGAATTCTCTGGCATTTTTCAACATAAACTCTTATGCGCTGCACCTGTACTATAAGGTGGATTACCACGAATAATGATTTTGACACTTTTTCTGAACTTAATAAAAGATTAGAAACTGATTTACTTGAATCACATTTGCAGTAGAAGCTGACAGACAGGTGCACACTGTCAGTGGATATTGACCATGGAGATAAGGCTGAAAAGCAGGTTTATAATTTAGTAAATAATATCCAGTGACCCATATATCGCAGGCTGCTCGCATGATAACCTCTTAACGCTTAACCATGTTGTCACGAATGTATTGCATAACCATATAATCACATTAGATCTCTGAGCCTGGAGGACTCAGCATTCTTCTGCAGGAGGAACAGGCTTGGCACCGCTGTGTGATGTTGACGCTTCTGTGCACATGGAGCGGCGAGAAACATGGCAGCAGCCTCTCTGAACAGCGTGATTGGAGAAACAAGCTGCTCTTTGTGAGGGAAGTGGAGAGAAAATGTTGTGTTGTAACTGACAGTGGGGTTGAAAGATGTGGTGGAGCTTTGAAAGTTACAAGCTATTTCCACTACACTGCTGCAGATAGAGCTACGGTCCTGCTGTGTTTGTGCATGTGTGTGTGTGTTGGGGGCGTTAATGTGACTTGTGGTATGGGTTTATTTTTTGATGTGAGTAATTATAAGAAGAGTTTATGAAAGTTTATGTCTCCTGTGCATGTCCATGTGCACTCTGTATGCATGTTTGCGTGTATGCAAGTGTATGTGCTGCATGTGTCTTTACAAATTCGGATTGTACCCTGTGTGAGGAAGCCAAGTTCTGAGAACTTGGGTGGCATCTATTTACAGCTAGAAGGCTGGACCCCTGGTAGGATAGACCTGAGGGTCAGGGAGGAGAAAGGGTGGTCATCAGGATTCCTAAAACTTCTTCAGGGGAAACAGAAGGTTAAGAGGGGAATTTACAGGGCATTAGATTGGGAGGAGCAGAAGGTTCAGGGATGGTCCTCCCCCCAAGCCTCATTTGTTCCATAACTGTGTTTTGTGTTCCGTGTTGTTATGGTGGTGTGTGCTTGTGTGTATGGGAATTTCTAAGGAGAACCCGGTCTCTGGAGAACCACGAAAAGAAAAAAACAACACATTTCTGTTGAAGTTAATGTAGAATTGTACCATGTCAGATAAAAGAATTGGTGTTATACAAAACATAGCATCACCAAGAGGAATACATTTCAAAACATGTTTCATTGCGTATAAATAGCTGAGGGAACTCAGTAGGTTTTCATGCTGGATGAGTAACATAACGTGAGCTAAAACTGCAGCTGAAACCGAGCGATGAAAGGAGACTCATCATCTTCCTCTTCAGTGGAACATGTGTCAACATATTAGTTTGTCAGAGAAATCTGTTTTAACTGGACCTACCCCAGCCTATTCACCGATTAAAGCCGCGCTTTCTCTGTTTTCTCTGTCATTTCCTTAGCAATGCATCCTTGACAACGTGCTCACATTAAGGCACTCGTGTTTCAGAGTAGGAAAGCATAGCATAACTTATTCACTAGCAAATATCAAAACTTTCACATTTTATACTTATGATAAAACATAAAATCAGTGTTTCACTGAATTGCTGGTCTTTTTTTCTCCATGTTTATGTGATGAAATGTAAAGAATACCCCAAAAGTGATTTCATTATTGGAACACTGGCACCTCGAATGGTTAATTGAGCACTCCAGTACCCAGCTGAGCAAACCCCTAATATATATGTGCATGTGTGCATGTATTAGATCTGGATGATATGCAAAAAACATACTGCAATATTTACTTCAGCAAAGGATAAATAATCACTCTTTTAACATCCATACAGTCAAAAATTGACTTTAGTACAGTACATAAATGCTGAAAACAACTTTAGTGTTGCTAAGAGTTGTGGCATAAACATACAATTTCTGCCTAGCTTCTCTGGTCATACACCCCTCAAAATCCTACATATTTTGTCTCAATCATTCTCAAGGACCTGTAAAAGGGCACATATCCTACATTTTATTGTATTTTATTTTTCCCTCTGAGGTCCACATATGACATTTGTGTGGGTTTATTTTAGCAAAATAAGCATGAAATTGTATTTAATTTTAATTCTTTATTCACATAAAAGGGCAAGGGAAATTATGTTTCCATGATGGGCCCTTTAATACCACTTTGTGGAAATGGTCGTCAATCAAGATCTGCATTCATGGTTATTCTACCAGCTTTAACACCAAAGTGGCCAAATTATGGACACACCACCTTTCTTGGTTGTAATTGTTTTGCACTTATTGTTCCACTTAAATTCTCATTGTCACCTATTTTTAGATGTTGTTGTCCAATTCAAGTAGGATACCTACTGATTAGAGCTATTTAAAGTCAAATTATACTCTGTACAAAGGCTTGCTCTGGTTGGCTGTTGGCAGAGAGAGAGAGAGAGAGAGAGAGAGAGAGAAACAGACAGAAACACAGACTGTATCCAACCATTTGAACTTTACAATCTGTCCTTTTTTCAACTAAGTGCTAAACTATTAATACAATAAATGAAATGCCAATATTGACTATTACCCATCTCTAGCTCTACCTCACAGCATGCACACTGAAAAAAGTGATGCACTGAATTTAATCGATTCAAATGTGCACATAATTCCCACATATAATGTATTTTTGGAAATATATTGTAAAAATATTGCATGAACATCATCTTGCGTTTACATTTGGTTTTGGTAAAGGATATTTTATTTATGTGGAAATGATCACATTTAAATTGAATAAATTGGATGCATCACGTTTTCGACCGCACGTGTGTACGTCTTACCTGTCGTCGCAGTAGGTGAACTTCATGTCCATGCTGTGTCGGCTGAGGAAGGTTTTGCAGTCGAGCGGTGTGTCGATGTTGGAGGGGTGAGGGATGGGTTCACACATCATCACCACACAGGTTAGGGGCGGCTCTTTAAAGCCACATAGCACACGCGGTGGGCAGCTGTTATACACCTTCAGATGCCCCGTACAGTGCAGGACCTGAGGGGACAAAGACTGAGTCAGAAAAACAGCTCACTCCAAGCTTGACATATGACATATACTATTATCACAGGTGGAGTTTCCAGGGGGCACTTTTCAAAGTCCAGTTTTTAATGAGACACAAGTCAAAACTTAGCCGCTGCCATACAGAACTTGACTTTGCTGCTCCAGTATTAAGCTAGCTGTACTTTAATGGAATTTTTCTCACTTTTTTATATTTAAAAATTTGACATAGTGTGTAAACACTGTTAAAGTTTCAAAACGTTCACTCCTCAGTCCATATAGTCCAAAAAAAGGCACAATGCAGGGAGGACAGTCAGAACAGAGCTCATATACATATATCAGTCTTATAGGCACAGTAACAAATACAGCCTGATTAATTCTAGGGGACAAAGAGAGGTTGGAAAATTATCATGTAAAAAGGAATTATGACTTTTTGTTAACATAAAAATTAGTGGACGCCAGGAGAAAAAGAACAAAAATAGAACAATATGAATCTCCTCCAACAAACACACTTCTGAATACAAACTTATACCCTTGATTCTTTTTGTCTACATTACAAAAATGTTTAGGGACACATGGGGACCTGTTTTAAATACTTTAAATCCGCTTTACTGTCCAGACATCCGAGGCATACCAGCTCTCTTTTTCCGTCCTATATTCCTGGAATATTTAATTGTCTGTAATTGTCTGACAGTTCTCTTTCCTCTCTTTCTTTTCTAGGAAAAAGTTAAGGGATGGGGGAAAATGTTCTGTGTTTCATTTTTTTAATCTTCTTTGCTGCTTACGCACCTCCCTGTTTCTTTTCTTTGTACAATGAAAAACACTTTGAATTTATACAATTTAAATGGGTCAAGTAAAGAGAAAGCTAACAACTGTGGTGATGTAACATTTTATTGATGGTGACTGACTGAAACATGTCAATCACGCATATACAAAGCACTATTTTTTCAGTATATTCCACGTTTGAATATTTGAAAATTAGTCATTAAAAATAAGACACTCCAAATCAGTTCAGGATCACTTCAGCAGAAACACCACACACCTTCCAGCTGGCTGATTTGAGGTTGACGGTGCGCCCTCGATTCGTCACTGTGCATTTCATTCTCATGAAGAAGTCTCTCTCCGTGCTCAGCTCTTTGCCTTTCTTGCCAACACCTGCAACAAAAAAAACACAGCCAACGTTTCATTTGATTTTTGATTGTGTGTGGTGCAACACACTGAGATGCTCTATATGCTGGGAACTGTCCAAGCTAAATAACTTCTAAATGATTTTTAAAAATGTTGTTTAATGTTTGGTTTATGGTGCGGCATTCTACGGCTGCATGCAGGATGTGTAAACATTCCAAGAGCAACAGCGAAGCTGGGAATGAAATACAAATTTGTACTCAGTGTTTTAGTCAGGAAAGTGCTGTAACTCTTGCTCCTGAGCGTAAAGTTTGTCTTTGACCTTTTCCTCCAGAGTAAAGAATGTTAAAACATCAGCCGTGTGAGGGATGACATCACTAGCAGCGGTTTGAGCTAGTTAAAATCATCCTGTGTTCCTAAACACAGCAGTAGGGACACAAACTCCATCTACCTCCACTCCAGGGTGAAAGTTCAACTGCTGGGCTCCAATGGGCCTTAGGTGGCATGCAGATTAGTAACATAGTGCTATTGGGGTGGTGGGGGTAGGGGAAGGGCAGTTGGTGGTGGTTAGGCAGGCCTGCATGAGGGCATACACATCGCCGATGCCAGCATGACCAGCTAGCCGGCTCCAATCTATCAACAGCTTAAGGAAGAAGGGCAGCCGGCTTAGCGCTGCAGGGTCGCACTGTGGCCGGCCCGGCGAAGCACCCCAAATAGCAACAGAGAGACCCGACCATACTAAAACACAGGAGACAGAACACGGGAGGCTCGGAGAGAGGGGCAGGAGGAAGCAGAGAGGGGCAGCAGAGGTCAAAAATGGGGGGCAAAGGGATGAAAGAGCGGGGTCAAACAGACAGGGTGGCCTATTATTTCAAACAGCCAGGCTGTTTTCTTTTGACATAACTGATCAACTCCTTTGAAGCTATATATTTTCACTGCTTTAGCTCATCAGACATGCAGGGATAGAACCTCCTGCACCAACCTACCAAAGCTCCTTTGATCCATTTCTAAATCACAGTTAATTTAAACAAATATTCATTGTGAGGTGCCAGTTTGTTAGGCAGAGATTGTACAATTGGCCAGCTATACCCATAATATACAGTGGCATCCATATGTTTTTGCTTTTCTAAGTGAAATGAGTACAGATCCTCTACAGAGAACACATTTCTGCATATTTTAATACACAATTACTTGCTCAATTTAACATATTGGAAAACAATACAACAATATATGGCCTGTGCAAAAGTTGTTCCACACTTAATATTTTATGTTTTTTCCAATATGTTAAAGCTGCACTGTGTAAGTTTTATCTGTTATAATTGAAAGAAGTCGCTTTACTGAAATATATGGTGTGCATGCACTGCTGAGTCACCCATAAACACCGGAAATAGCAATTTAAAAGTCAGAAGCGTCAAATCAGACTTTGCAGGATTTTTTCAGACCACGTCATACGTCTTTATATCGCCGCTGTCGGAACAAAACCTTGCATCTCCATTTTTGTTGTTTTTCAGTTTTTGACATATATAATTTGAAAATACATACCTATTCTCCTTTATACTGTGTGTGAATTTCACAATGAAATGACCAACAGAAATGACCCAAAATTATTTGGAAAAAAGTCTGGTTCCATTGACTTACATTAAAAATAGAGTATGTTTTTTTTCCTTCTCCTGTAAAGTTATCATTTTGGAGATACAAGGTTTTGTTCTGACAACAGCGATATATTAATGTCACACACACAGGCTCAAAAAGAAGGTCCAGCTCAAATGCAAAATCAACATTATACTAATGAAGATATCAGCGGTAGATAATTTAGTTGTATTCTCAGAAGACACGTCCTTCACCAAGTTCACTTCCTTCACCACGTCCTTCACCCAGTTCTGTAATACCCTTTAATCAGATTCATCCACTCAGGGAAGGATGTTATAAAATGTTCTTCGGTAGCCACAAAACTTACATAGTGTACCTTTCAGAAATTGTGCACTAAAAGCTGCAGAGAAATGCCATTTCTAAGTTTCCTGTAAAGAGTGACTTATTTTCACAAGACACATAATTTGACTGTGGGTGCTCAAAATTTTGTATACACGTATATAGGTGCACTTTCTACCCTGTCCATCCATGGAAAAGGACCACCACAGGACATTATTTGTGTGGTGGACCGTTCTCAGCATGGTAGATCTATGGTAGCGTGCGATGCGCACACGTCACTGTTATAGTTCACGAAAATAAACACGTCCAGCCAACAGTGGTCCTGTGGCTAGAAACTGTTTTGACTCTTTGCTCTTAATGACACTGGACAGATTGCTTGTCAGTTGCAATGGACATGCAAAAGCACTGAAAGATTCCAAATAACTCCACTAACTTTGGCTAATATGGGGAAACCCACAGATACCGGAGACTTCTGAGTTATTTAGGTGCCACTGTGTCCCAGAATGATTGTTTTTCCTTCCTCTATCATTAATTTGATACTACTCAGTATCAGCCTCAGTCCTTCCATGTCTTAGGCATGGTCTTTGTCAGTGTGATGATGCTGCATCTTCACCATTAGCTTGAGTCCAGTTTTCCATTTTTCCGTGTCTGGCAGATTAGATGTACTCCTGCTGCATGAAGTGACTATGATCTTGGAGCTCTCTAACGTCCCTGCACTATGCAACTCAAATGACATTCAAGGAGCTCTCTGGCAAACAAGTCAGCCTGCACTGCTTGATTCATGCCTGCTTTTGTCAATGTGATTAATGAAAAACATGCTTGTTTTCTATTTTTTTATTCTGCTTTGCCAGTTTTCCATTAGGCATACTTTGCTCCCGTTGTAGTAGAACCCTCTCTTGATATGGAACAGCACAGAATTCTTCAAACGTGCAAAGTCTGCTAGCATCCTTTTTAGAATTCCTCAATTGTCATACCAAGAATACTATCTATAGGACTTTATGTGGTCGAGCAGCCACAAATAGGCAGAATGGTGGGTGCATCCTATCTAGAGGAGAGGGCACCTTGCCTCCTAACCATCTCAAGAGAGTATGGCCATGTGTATGTAGGTATTTTTTCTCTGAATGACTAGGGGTGTTCAGCCCTGAGGACAGAGTTTTGGGAACACACTCTTAAGAATGAAAAGTTTTTAAAACTTTGAGCAAAACGCATCCTTTTAAAAACACTCGTGCATGGTCAGTGTTGTTTTCTCAGATCTTGAGCATGCTTCAAGACCGTCTGATATGCCTGATGACCAGGCTCTTTCTGTGTGGTTGATAATTATCAGGTTTGATTACAGGTTTACTTAATGTAGCTTGTATTAGTCACATATTAATCTCCTTTGTTTTTATTACGCTTCATATTCAAGTCCCTGTGTTGTTGTGTTTGCATCAAAACATGCCATCTCTACAACTCCATGCTCCATATCTTGCATATTAGAGCATCATCTTACAATGTTAATGTGGCTAATAATTAATGGAAGCTTATAGCACAGGTAGATCATCACAAACTCATGGCATGCTGTTATGTATAAACTGGGACATACCGGTTTTGAGGGTGAGGTTCTCTCGGATTTCGTCATGGTCGCAGGGATGAGTGAAGTCAAAGATACTGTGTCCAGTCAGTTCAACCTAAAGGGAAATCAATGAACAACAGAATCATACAATGTAGTTCATCATGACAAGTCTAACAGTCTAATCACCCTCCAAGCTACGAAAATCTCTAATCATAATGTAGCTGTCAGATACTGAGCTTCTATAAGTACATACTGGAGAGCATGAGACCCTGTCATACTGTTAAACTAACACTGTAGAAACCAGTGGATCTGCTCTTCTGCACTCATGCAGAAACGAGACGAGCTTCCATAGTGGCTAACAACGCCAATGTGTGTGTGTGTGTGTGTGTGTGTGTGTGTCAAAGAGCAGCTCCAGAGAGTCTGTATAAATGACATGTACAGTCACTAAAGTGCTAGCTCAACAGGAGAGTTCTAGAGCGAAGCTGTTTGTTTGGGTAGAATACGCCTGTGTGTAGCCTGAATTCTTTTAGATGGGCCTGGTTGCAGGTTGTGAAGACAAGCTAGTAAGAAATATGTCCCAGAGTGAGGTCAACAACCAATAACTAGCTATTTAGCCTTCTTCACTGTAGTTACCATAACCAGAGAGAAGGAAGCAAATGCAACACACAACTGCTGATCTTGTATTTAACTGCCTAGCTAGTTAGTACAACAGCTGGCAGAATACCATGGTGGGTAAAGGCTAATGAACCACATTTCTGCCTTTTACAGACCTAGGAGTAGGCGTCTCAGGCTAACGGTTAAAGACGGTGACATCTTTTTTCCCACAGTACTGAAAATTTTACTACTACTTACTACAATTACTACTTTACTACAATTTACTACTACTTTTACTACTACTCACCTAACTCGCTATATTCAGGCTACACTCTATGCTAGGAACAAGCACAGCTCAGCTAAATTCCCATAATCTGCAGAAACAGTTGAGGAGGGTGATGCTGTGTTAGAGTAAAAAAATTGTGCTTGTCTTATTGCATAACTGGTTTAATACCTTAAAATCCCAGGCTTGTTACACAGTAAGGCTTATTATTCATTAACTACAGGGACTTCAATGTAAACCAATGGAGCTTTTCTTGGGTTATAGAAGTGCAATAAGACTTTGGGCCTGCTGGCAGGCCCGTGGCTTGGTAAGGGGTTGAAACTTCGACACAACTGATGGAGTGTGCAACTGATGCATCTTAATGACCCATATTTATTAAGAAAGACCAAAAGTGAAGCTCTAATTAGCCATTTTTTTTACCTAAGGTACCCGTGTGTGTGTGAGAGTGTGTGTGAGAGGTGTGTGTGTGTGTGCATGCTAACCTGTGTAAGACCCATGAATTTGTTGATATTCTCTGATAGGAAGACCATGTCTCCGTCTGATGTTACCACAGAGACGAAGCCTTCCAGTGACTTCAGGTAAAGACTGTCCATCTGTCTGTCTGCTTCTCTTTCACTGACACTGCAGCCTGAGAAGCAAAACACGCATACACAAGATGTTAAGTGTTAAGTATAGTATATGGGCGTATGTGTGTGTGCGTATGTGTATGTGTGTGTGTGTGCGTATGTGTGTGTGTGTGTGGGTATGTGCACACTCATTCATCTTGTTTTGGTTCTTAAGGCCATGGCTCACAGCCAAAACAAACCAGAGCAACTTCATCCTGCTACTCTGAACCCTCCCCAAAAAACAGTGACCTCCCCATTGTCACTTCCCCTGGGCCTGTCCACCCACAGAAATACACACACACACACACTCACAAACACACATACTGACTCTAAGACAAACACATTTATAGCCATTATAAATCATGATACCTCACAACTCTAATGAGGGCAAAATTCAGTGCACATGTACCAGCCGAAAAAAGGGAAGCGCTTTCTTTTACAAATCCCAGCTGAGTGTCTGTCAGGAATGAGCCTTTAGCACTAAGGCCTGAGGAAGCATGTTGCACCAGAAGTCAAATGTGTTTATGCATTTCTTGATAAAGTTGTGTGCATGCACACATATACACTACTGTGTAGCAAAAGTCCCCAATGACACAAAAAAACAAACACAAGGTAATGGATTGTTTTTCTAATCTGATAACTCTTAAATAAACTCATCTACCTCTCGAGCCCAAAAAAAACAGAGTGACCATAAAATGTATTAACATTGTTGCTGCCCATATCCTTAAAGAAAGCCAAACAGTTCGGTAAGGAGCATGAACGTGATGCAGTGGCCATGAAGAGCGAGCGAGGCAGTGAATGTGGTGCTGGATCTGGCGTGGGTTCAGAGAGGAGGTGCAAAAGGAGAACACAGAGCGGCTCCATGCTGGGGGGTCGGAAGCATGTGATTGCTCCAGTGTGCTTCCTTCAGATAAGAGGCTTTCTCAAGGCCTACGGAGGCCTGGGGCTGGAGTTGAGCCCAGCCTGGAGAACTGCAGCCCCAGAGAATTCCACCTTTGAAGGGCTTAAGGAGAACTAAGACATTTTTGTAATAAAACAAATCTTCCGTTTAGTTTGAGATTTTCGAGAGAATATCCGTTATAGACGTACACGTCTATACAGTCTACATGCAAAAGTTTGAACACCCCTAGTCTAATTCTAAGTGAGAACAAGTCATGGTATGTCATGTCATGTTAACTTAAATATTTAATTGCATTTTTTTGCAAATATTTTCTGCAACTTTTCTGCAAATTTTAGAGCAAAACTTGCAACAACTTTTGCTCAAGCCACAATTTACATTTTATTTCTTTTCTAGTATGTTCAATTCACCAAATAAACACTAACTGTGTATTAAAATGTGCAGAGGTGTGTTCTCTGTAGAGGATGTGTTGACTTATTTTCACAAAACTCAGCAAAACCTTTTCCATACATCTGTATGAACATGAAAATAAGAAAGAATGTCTAAAGAAAAAAAAACTGCAGTTCCATCCACCACCCCAGCACATTCTTGAATCTTGATGGAGGGACAACATGAACCTCTTGGTCAAACTCTGACATTAAGTTTGTACAGCAACATCTGGAACAAGTTGTGCCCAACAGGATTACACTCAAGAAAGAATTTTAAACTGCCGTAATGGCAGCTGTCTTACGCAACCCAAAGCCAGATTTTCATGTTTGTGAAAATGCTAAAACAAACAAGCATCCCAACAGCTCGCAGAGGGCTAATATTACGTCTCTTCCTTCCAATCATAGAGTTTGACCTCTGAACCCAGGGACTGGACACAGGAAGCAAACACAGCTCTTGCAGCTCCTTTATCAGAAACAGTGAGAATGCAGAGTGTGCAAAGAGTTCTGATACTGTACAAGAGAAACTGAACTCTTCTTCTTCTTCTGCTGTGAAGAATTGTTGACTTATGCAGTAAATGAAAGAATTTTAAAACAACACTCGACTGAGATAGTTACTGTTAGAAGGGATAGTTTTAATAGTTAAGTGATAAACAGAACACAGTTTTATACAGTATGTCATAGGAACTTCTTTTGGAAAAGCCTAGTAACTAATACAAACCATATTCTGACCTTTTATTAGAATATATGCAAATAAACAAATACAGTAAAATGTTACAAGAGTTTGTTTTAAAAAAAAGTATTTGATATCTTTTGAGCTAGTCTGAAAAACAATGTTTAGCTCCAGATTTCTCCTGGAAGTTTGAAAGTGGTTAAACAAACACACTGACACATGGAAAAATCACTACTCATTATACTAATATTATCTGTGCTTATTGTATAATATTAGTGTTTAGTGCCCAGAGAACTTCTTAACTTTTAATGCAAGTTAATGATAAGAGGTTTAATGTCAAATAATTTTGGGGCATTTCTGCTGGTCCATTCATCACGAAATCTATATACAATGTAAAGGCCAGCTGCCATGTTTAAATGATGTAGAAAAATAAAAATCAACAAAAAAGAAGAATACATGAATTTTATATATATATATATATATATATATATATATATGACTGCAAAGGTTTTAATAATAATAATAATAATAATAAATAATAATAGCTGTTATTATTATATGACTATTGTTATTGTTATTAGTTTGTGTGTGAGTCACTAAATCTCAAACTGCTGTATAATGACATAACATGTCAATGACATTTTAATCCAAATTATTTGCATATGAAAACACAACAGTTGCAGTATTTTTTAAGGTTCCTTCTTTCCACTGTGACAATACACTGTGCAAATTATTTGAATTCAATTGTACAAGAAGTGCAATAACTTGCCGGTAAAACATTCAGTTTTCCTCTAGTTCACTGCACAAAAATGACGCAATATGAATATAAAATAAGTTCTCCTGAGAGCTGACTTTCCTGGGTAGCTTGATAATAACACAGCACTACAGATAAAGCTTTACGCTCACACCTCAGTGTTTCAGAGGTTTCAGTCCTACCCGGTAAATCCCCCAGTGCTCCAATCAAAGCGGGATTTCACATGTGCTGACTCACCTGAGAAAGCATCTAACTAAACGCACCTGACGTATTACTTTAATTAGCCTCTGTGAGTCATCTCTATACATCAGCGCATGTGAATGTGTGTGCGCCTCTTGCTCTTATGTAAGAGGTGTTTCCCCGGCACCCTCAGTGTGGGTAGGGTGGTATGGGGAGAGGAGGGGAGGGTGCGTGTGGCGCCACGGCAGGCCCGTGTTTTGGCTGGCCTGAAAACTCTAAGCGCCAGCTTCTGAGAAAGCACCAATCACGCACTGATCTGCTTCTTCCAGCACAGCACACAGCATCTGATAACACTATCTGATGTGCCATCTCACAGCCACAGAGCTGCCTTTCTCTGCCTAAATCTCCCTCAGATCATGTCTTTCCATTTCTGTTCATACGTGTATGTTTGCTTTTAGCTCTCGCGGTTCAGTGTAACTAAGCCGGTGACTTGACAGCAACTTTACCTTTTGTAAAAAAAAAAACAAAACAAAACAAAAAACAAAACAAGACACTGTGGTTATCTAAGAAAGAAACACATCAGAAAGCATCTAAGAGAATTAAGGGACAATTCTGCTCCCACCTCACGGTAGTATCTGACTAAACATAGGATGGAATGCAAGAGCCCTGAAGCTGTTCTTTTGTCTGGCTTCCGGAGATTCTAATTTTACAATCAAGACATCCAAACAATACAGACATACACACACACGCATGAACATCCTACACCCATTCCGCCGCTGTCCAAGAAACTTCCAGAGAGCTTGCACTGGCCGCCTGCCTTGCATCAAACCAACACGCATATTGGCGCACATAATACAGCTGTATGCTTGTTGACTTGAACATTATTGAAAATCTGTAGGTAGATCTTAACCATGATATGCATGCCAGACGTGTTCTGAGTGGGTGAAGATCCTGAAAATAAAAATATAAAGACTCCTGGCTGGCCACAAAAAGCAGTTGCAAGCTGTGATATCTGCCAAAAGGACTGTAACTAAGTACTTTTTATTTTTTAGTTAATCAAAACTAAACTAAGTTTGCCTTAAATTTTGAAAAAAAAAAAAAAAAAGCATTATATTTTGAAGACAAAGTGCTGCAGTGGTTGTGTTTCCTTTTTTTCCATTTCAAAAATTAATAAAATATGTAACTTGGCTGGGGGTGCCAAAACTTTTGCATACAACTGTATCTCTGAAATGGCAACTTTACAGGAGAAGGAAAAAATGTTCTTAGCTTTGATGTATGTAATAAAATTGTATTCTGAGTAATTTTTGACCTCTCTATTGGTCTATTTATCATAGAGCAAAGCGCATCTGCCATTTGAAAATGTTAGAAAAAACTACATAACAGTGCTTTTTGATAAATGTAAAAAATACATGTCTGAAATTTTACATTCAATTTTATTTCATATAATCATCATGAATGTTAAATTTAAACTCTTATTTCACTGATAAGGTTTGGTTGCAAACAAAAGGGCTACAATTTTGAAACATCTGACTGGGAAATTATCCAATCAGGAATTTTTTCTCCACTGTAGACTTCAGGAGCTGAACTGAAGGCCTAATGTGTATAACTGTGTATAATTAGATCTGACAGTGGAATCAGCCAATCTCGTTTTGATTTCCAGTGGGAGGGACTAATTTGGTTAGAAAAAAACATCCCTCCAGGCCAACTGGAAGTCCTAGATGTTTCACTGACCACAAGTATAAGCGAGAGCTTAATCAAGTTTCAATCAGTCGTTAGAAATGTAAAACAGCGGCAGTTGCTATGTTATCTGTCTATTATGAGCTTCAAATGAAACATGGAATGCCCCAGCGTTCATGTTAATCATTGTTAGCTTAACATACTACTTGAATCCCATAGGGGTGCTAGCAGAAATGAAAATTAGCATTATCATAGAGACACTTTTTGACAGAGTTTTGACGTTTATGTTCCAAACTAAAGGCCAAGCTCTAACAGTCAGCATTCACTACTGCTAAAAATGACAGCAATGATATATTCACATTTTAGGAGAAGCAAATAAACCCAAGCATTTGCAAACACCTTTTCAAACGCCTTCGTTTTCATTGTCTCCGTTTTTTATTGCATTGTCTTATTCATTAAACTGCTTGGCCTTATTCACAATAAACTTAACAAACCCTGACATGCTTGCAGCAGTAGCTAAAGCAGGCCTAATAACCGCTAATACAATCAAAGCTTTGCATAAAGCTAGCTCCTATAATGCATCTGCAACATTAACACACCCTGACAGCAAAAAAAACCCAAACCATTTCCTCATAACAGCCCTGCTGTCAGTATCAGTGAACCAGATGCTTGTATTGTTGTATGTATAAGACTATTCTCCCTTTAAACCAGAAAAGCCTGCATGCTTTATCTGTCACATGATACTGTGCCACTAATTCAAGACACTAGTTGGCACTCTTTCATGCTTTTTATGTGCTGAACTCAAGAATGTTGGTAGGCTTCAGTGACAAAAAAATCTAAGAAAGGAATTTATAAGAGGAAAAAATAAACCCTTAAACTCCTTAAACATATAACACGAAATTTCCACGCTACAGTTCCTCACTCTTATAACTACATAACTTTTATATTAGTTTTACAGTAGTTGCTAAATAATTAGTAGCATGACATGTAGCTGTCGAGAAGCAATTACTGAGAAAAAGGAAATCAAGAAGACAAACAAAGAACAATCGAGAAGAAACAAAGAAGCTGCTGGTGACTGACCACCACACCTCACACCTCAACATCACTGAATGTGTTTGGGATCACTTAGATTGTGAGAAGCAGAAAATGGAACCAACTTCTAAGACTGAACTTTGGAGGTGTGGAAAAATATCCCTGCAGGTTTCTTTAAAAAACTGAAAGCGAGTCTCCTGCAAAGAAGGTAAGCTGTAATAAAGGCTGTAATAAAGAGTGGACACACTAAACACTGAAGAACTGATATTGCATTTAGTTGTTGGGTCTTCTAGCAGTTTTCTGTTAAATATATTTTTTCTGCTTTTTTTCTGACAATAAAAAATGAATAACAACGCTACAACGTTACATTTTAACTGGGAATTAAATAGATGAAGGATGGTCTCTGACTTTTGAACAGTACTGTTAATCACTGTCCCTACCTTGGCCTTTGCGTTGTTGCTATGCTGTAACAAACAAATATGCCCTTTAACCCAGGGTGTTAAACTTGGCTCCTTTCAGGTCATAGCACTGCAGTTTCGGCCTTTGTGAGCTAAATTCGTGAGTGTGAGGAGACGAAAACACTAACGCCTGCAGAGGTGTGGCTGGAAGGAACTCAGTTTGTCATTCTGCTCCAGCCTATCACTTTTTGTTTTGTGCTGAGCAATCTAAAATGTTCCAGTGGGATTTTTGAAAATTCATATGGTCTGACATACTTAAATTACTCGGGTGAAAAATTCAAGCAGGCAGATTGTTAACCAAGTCACATCACAGTTCAACAGTGTGCTTTAATATAGGCATATTGCATTCATAATATACCACATTGTCCATGTTGTGTTGCACAAGCACACATATTTGTTTGTGATCTGCAGTGAAGCCCTTACTTGATGCGAGGAGTTTGCGTGTGCGGAGGAAGCTGATGGTTAGCCTCATGATGGAAGCCTTGTCCAGGTGAGAGCTGACGCTGTGGGGCAAAGGCAGCTGGTGGGCCAGTTCATAAAACACCTCCGTCTCCTTACTGCGTCTGCAGCGGGCAGCGTCTCGAGACTTCTCCTTCCGCCGCTCTGAAGTGCTCCTGCGCATAGGAGGCAGCGAAAAAAAGTGAGGCTAGTGCTCATGCACAAGATTCAGAATTCAGGATACTTTATCATGGAGAAACGTGGACTGTCCAAAAGTTATGGCACTCATTATACTTTATATTTTATTTTTTGCATTCTTAGACTCTGAAAATAAATAGAAAAAAATAAAAATATATGTTACATTTAAGTGTGTTCTCTGTAAAGGATGTGTTCACTTATTTTCACTTAAAAAATCAACAAATGTTGCATTTTTTCTAAATTTTACCTGGACGGTACCCTTATTCTAGCACTGTAGGCATAACGCCATCTTCTTACATTTTGTTTAATTACTTCTGACTTGTAGCTCTTAGAAACAAGTAAGGAATATGTGCTGCACATGTGAACTCTAAACTTTTATATGACATCTTTACGGCATTTGGTAGACGATCTAATGCAGAGCGACCTACAGTTTTATCGAGCTACAGAGGGAGGTGAATCTAGCATTAGGAGTCTTGCCCAAGGACTCTTATTGGTACAGTTTGGCCTGGGCAGAGAATTTAACCCTGGTCTGCTATGCTGAGGGCAGCAGTGTTACCCACTACCCCACTGGTCACCAACCCTGTTCATGGAGATCGACCCTCCTGCAGGATTCAGCTCCATCTCAAATCTAATTTACCTAATCCAAGTAGTTAAGTGGACTGATGATTTGGATTAGATGTGTTCAATCAGGGTCATAAAATAAGTAGTAAATCTCCAGAAGCAAGGTTGGTGACCACAGCATTAGGCAATATTAAGCACTGCAGAGTTTAAGTGATACTACATTTGTGGTCATAAGCAGAGATGGACAATTTAACGGACTGTTACCGCTGTGTTTGCAGCTGTTACATTTTCATCATTTTTAAATTTTTTCTTCATTTCTTTTTAAAACATAACAAGTGCAGACTAAAATCTGTCAATACAGAATGTAAATCAGATGCGAATGCAATTCATTTTGTAAATATTTCATTAATCATGCAATTATGCAAACAAATGTATATCAATACGACCATAATAACTTTACCCTCTGTAGTGAGAGCATTTTGGAGTATGTCAGGTATGAGACAGCAAAGGACAGTGGAAACGATATAGGGGGTAAGGCAAAGCTTCAGTCAGCCCGAATTTGAACCCACTTCCTTTGTTGCTTGCATTTCCGCTCTGAAAGCAGGTCAGTGGCCAGAGGTTGACACTTCTGGTGAACACCAAGATCCCTCCCCTTCACACACACCACATAGATAAGGCAGCACGCAGACAGAGCTGTCCATGCTATTTCTTTCCTTCTGATATCAATTACAAAACAAATGCAGACTCTTTCATATTCATATAAACAGGGTCTTACACACGCACACCTGAATGCATGCACTTAATCAAACAGTGCTTGTTTATTCGACTTCGGAACATAGCGGCCTCTTTGAGCATCTGATAGCCAGATGGCAGGATAATCGCTCCTATTTCACATTCAACTCAGATACTGTAGAAACCAGGCCAAGCCCAAAAACTCAGCCAGAGGAGAGAGAGCCAGTGTCCTGCAGGTGGTCAACACACCCTCACAAGAGCAGAGATGTACACCAAAAAGTGCCCTTTAACCTCAAATAGCTACGTGTCCATCAGAGAACCCTCAGCCAATGAAAATCCGCCTCAAATACTGCATTCCTTTGAACACGACAGTGCAATCTTTTTATTATTTTTTTTTTTTATATTTTTCCAAATTCAGCTTTCAAACTGTAGCTTTCTCTGCACTTCAGCAGGAAGTGACCCACCTCAACTTGCAGAACGATCTGGACCAGAAGCAAAGCAAAAGAGGGCCATCCTGACACGTGAAAGCTTCCAGCATGGCTTGGGTCAAACAGTTACGGGAATCATCTCTTAGACATCCTGCATTTAATAAACACAAATAAGCGCAGCTTCACCACAATTTAGGACGCTTCCGTCCCCCGCGGCAAGAAAATATTGCCCAGGAATGCATTGCTGTCCCTTATTTGGGACGGTTCAAATCACTTTATCTGTTACTGTATTTACAGTATGTAAATGTGTTTATGTGTTGTGCACTCACAGGCATAACGATATACTTTGGTTAATAATGGGCCCAATGTATGATGATGCTTTACCAACCATTAAAAGGCTCAACGTAGTTGAGAAACTATTTTAGAATACAAATAAGCTTTCTACAGTGGAGTAAGTGATATTTTGACACGTGAATCTAGTCAATATATCTAATATTTATGATTTAAGACTTCAAGAATATTATACAATTACTCAATCTACTTCTATGCATTTTACTTACTTCATTTTAGTCATTTCTTAATTTTATCTAGTGAAATATCTTAACTCTATTGGCAGACAATGTTGCCTGTATAAGGCATTATTTCTTAAAACAAACAAAATTCTGCCAACGGAACAATTTCACTAGATAAAATTGCATAAAACAAGTAAAAATCATATAGAAATAAGTTAAATAGGTTCTTACCACAGTCTCACAATGAGAAATATTAGATAAATTAACTAGGTTTAAGATGATTTCATTTGCCAACATAATTTTTCTGCTCTACACAAGATATACAGATATAATCACTTGAGAAAAGATTTCATTATGGATAAGGAATAAGCTAAAAAGATGGGATTTCGCTGCCAAGAGCTGTGGTTTGTGGTCGCCTGATAGGGCAAGAAGCATGGCAAGCGCTGACTGATATCTTTAAATGCCCTGTAACTGCGGCATGCCACAGCCTCTTATAACACCTACTCCCATACACACATGCACATATAGAGTGTACACACAGGCAGAAGCATGGGCACGCGCATGCAGAAGCTTAACCAAGAAGAGTTTTCACTCACAGCAGCTACTAAAGAAAACAATCACCTGTTGCCAAGAAGCACCGCAAGCCGACCTCCACTTACACCCTTCACAGTGCAAAAACAGCCACCAAAAACACTTAACTCCTTTTAGCTTCGCTCAGAGTTAACGGACCATGTTTACTTTTAGCAAAGCAGCAGGCCTGTGTGTGTGAACACGGCATGGTTCAGGTTACATATCAAACAGCCTGCGAAGAAGTTCACTTAAAGCAGCTAATGCAGGGTTAATTGCAGCATCCCAACCACTGAGTAAAGGAAAAACATGGAGAGGGACTCAAGCTCTCACATCTCTTTTATAGTGCAAAACCAGCAGCAGATTATCAGTGGTGGCCTAACATTTTGGTCCGCTGCCAGGTCACAAGCATTGACATCCAATTTACCCCCCACAATAGAGTCCCTGATTTGCCAACATTAACAGAAACACCACCCACATCCCCGCCTTCCTCTTGTCCTATTTACAAGTAAATAAATAGGTGCTGATCTGGTTTCCATGGAGACAGCCAGAGTTGGAACCACGTCAAGGAGGCTGTGTTCTAAAAGGAGCCGTCGCCGCCATTCTCTTTTCCTGCCCCGCGTCCAAAAAACCTGCAGGAGAGGAAGGAACAGGCCTAACGCAAGGCCCAAAAGTTGCATCACCATGCAAAAACGGTTGCAGCACCACAAACAACAGGCCTGGAGTAATTAAGTAGGACCAGTATTGGAGTAAATGAGATGTTAGATTTGTCTTCTCAGATTAAAGTCCACTCCTCAGCCTACCGCCTAATACACCTAACACTGTCTTCACTGGTCCATCATAAGCTGTGGTTTTATGTGGAACATGACTGCCTGAGTGGCCACTCTGGAACTGCTTGATCTCCCACAAGCTTAATTGGCAAGGCCTGAGTTTACCCACGGGGGACTGAACATCCTTAAGATACAGCAGATTTCCTCTGTAAAATCCTTCAGGAAAACACGCTGGGTTCCATAAAAAATGCAGTTTTCTTCTTTTTCTTTTCACATTTTTCTCCTCTCATTCTTTGTCTAGACTAATCCATTTTCTTTGGTAACATGCGGGGGTGGATGCATTGATGGTAACAACAAGAAGCACCATTGCTTGAACTTGAGAACAAATAATTAATGGGCATTTTGTTCTGTGCTCATTTACAGTGTCAGTATGGTCTACTGGTCTGAAACAATGAAGGGTCATTCTGAAACTGAAAGAAACAAAATGAGTTTGTGAAATACAGGATGGCTTCATGAAGCTACGTAGCAGGATGCTCTCCCTAGAGAACAAGTCTTTATTAGCTTGTTCTCTCTAGTGAAAGTCCTTAGCAGCCTGTTCTCCCTAGAGGAAAACTCACTTGTAGCCTGTACTCCCTAGTGAAAAGTCCTTAGGAGCCTGTACTCCCTAGTGAAAAGTCCTTAGGAGCCTGTTCTCCCTAGTGAAAAGTAGTTAGCAATCAGTTTCATTAGTGAAATGCCCTCAACCGCCTGTTCTCACCAGTGAAAAGTCCTTAGCAGCCTGTTCTCACTACCAAAAGTAGTTAACAATCAGTTTCACTAGTGAAAAACTGGTAAAATGTCCTTAGCAGCCTGTTCTCCCAATTGAAAAAGTAGTTAGCAATCAGTTTCACTAGTGAAATGCCCTTAGCAGCCTGTTCTCACTAGTGAAAAGTCCTTAGCAGCCTGTTCTCACTAGTGAAAAGTTCTTAGCAGCCTGTTCTCACTAGTGAAAAAGTTTTTGACAATCATGTCTCACTAGTGAAAAAGTCCCTAGCAGTCTGCCTCCAGGTGAAAAAGTCAGTTCTCACCAGGGAAATGTTTCTTACAGCCTGTTCTCACTAGTGAAAGTCATATGTAGCTTGTTCCCTCTAGTGAAAAAGTCCTTAGCAATCAGTTTTCAGTAGTGAAAAGGTCTTTAGCAGTATGTTCTCCCTAGTGAAAAAAGGCCTTAGCAACCAGTTCACCCTAGTGAAGAAGTCCTTAGCAATCGGTTCTCACTAGTGAAAAAGTCCTTAGCAGCCTGTTCTGACTGGTGAAAACATCCTTATCAATCTGTTCTCATTGGTGAAAAAGTCCTTAGCAACCTATTCTGACCAGTGGAAAAGTTGTTGTCATCCGGCTCTACTTAATACTCCTTCAGGTCAAGTCC